ATGTCAGGGACCCGCGGGCAGCTAGGAGGGGAGGTTGCACGCCACTTGCAGCACTCAACCTCACTCCATCACCGCCCGCGGTCTCCCCTCTGCTTACCTGTCGGCGAGCGGCGTCTCCTCTGTGCCGCTCGCCGCCAGCGTCCTTCACGCCCCCCAGCGGCAGCATGTATAACGCTGCACGCTGGGAGGTCCAGGAATTAAGTAAACGCCAGGGTCACATGAGTGACCCGGCGTTAAAGAAACAGTACCACAATCACAGTGGGAGGTATAGATATCCCCCACGTGTGATTGTTAATTCTGATTGGAAGTTATCCAATCAGAATTAAACCAAGGGTATTTATACTTACCTTTCCTGTCCCTCAGTGCCCTGTTGTGGTCTTGTGATATCTGTAGCGTAGTGTTCTCGTCTTGCTGTCTGGTTACTGTTTATTTGGCTCGTTATTCCGTTTATCCTGTCTTCTCCACTCCTTTGACCTCGGCTTGTTTCTCGTTCTCCCGTTTTCTGGCTCCCTTTACCTGGCTTGTCTCCTGATTATTCTTAGCGTGCTTAGCCCGGCCACTCTAAGGTCCGGTACGGCACCTTTTCTGTGTGTGTGTGTGTGTGTGCCAGAATTGTGACAGATATGGGTCGATAGTTCGCTAATATCTCTGGGTCGTTGTCCTGCTTCAAAATTGGAACAATATTAGCTTGAAGCATCTCATTAGGAAACGTACGATTGTCACCAATCTCATTAAATATCCTTGCGAGACGTTCAGATAGTATATTTCTAAATATCTTATAGAATTTATTTGAATAACCATCTGGTCCTGGCGCTTTTTTGATCTTCTGCAGTTATAGGTTTATTTATATCTATTAATTGTTCTCTAGTTATTTTTGGCATTTTTTTATTTTTTAAATATTCTTTTGAGGGAAGTTGTTTACCTTCTGATTCTAAATTGTATAATTGCCTATAATATTCATTAAAAGCTGTGCAAATTTTCTTTGGGCACATATACCTTTTTCCTTCTCCATCTTAATTTTATGAATCCTCCTCATTTGCTTTTTATTTTTCAATTTATTTGTGAGTAACTTATCTGCTCGGTTACTCTTATAATACCAATTTATCCTTAAAGGACTAGTATAGTGCCACTCCCGCTGTGCTGAAGGGGGTGGAAAGGGTTAATCCTTTACCTTTTTTTTAGCGCCGAGCTCCCTTGGTGCTGGGACTCTCCTCCCTCTTCTCATGTCATTGGCTGAATGCGCATGTGTGGCAAGAGCCGCGCTCGCATTCAGCCAGTTCATAGGAAAGCATTCTCAATGCTTTCCTGTGGATGCTGGCGTCTTTTCACTGTGAAAATCACAGTGAGAAGCGCGGAAGCGCCTCTAGCGGCTGTCAATGAGACAGCCACTAGAGGCTGGATTAACCCATAGGTAAACATAGCAGTTTCTCTGAAACTGCTATGTTTACAGCAGGCAGGGTTAATCCTAGATGGACCTGGCACCCATACCACTTCATTAAGCTGAAGTGGTCTGGGTGCCTGTAGTGGTCCTTTAAAGATTGTAAATTCCTATTTTTCTCCTCAAACAATAAATTATTATTTTGCTTTAGTAACATATTTGTGCTTGTCTCTAGTTGGTAAAATCTTATTTTCGTTGGATAATTTGTAAAAATCTATATAAAGATCTGTCAGAGATTTACCCCTTTTTTTTCTCAATTGTGCCCAATTTGATTAAACGCATTTGTATGCATTCCATACCACAGGGAGTGGGACTTCACCCCCTTATTTTCCTGAAAATACCTTTCTGTCATCTCCTCAATATATTCTCTGTTTTCCTTTTTAAAAAGGATATTATCATTTGATCTCCATGCCGTTCTTTTTGCACTATTATTCTCAATACCTATTTCCAGAATTATGATCAGACCAAGTAATATCATTTATGAGCACTTTATTAGTGCAGTTAGCCAAGAAGTCATTTCCCCCCCAAAAAAACTATTCTTCCTGGCATTGAGGCTGTTGTTTTAATTTTAAGGTGTATTTGACCCCTTAAGGACCAAACTTCTGGAATAAAAGGGAATCATGACATGTCACACATATCATGTGTCCTTAAGGGGTTAAACCCTTTTTTCCCCTTATTTTTCTCTCTTTCCCTTTTTTTCCCTTTTCTTAGATTGATTGTTCAGCCTAAGGCTTTCCTGTGCCTTTAAAATATTTCTCATATGTTTTCACCTTAGGTAATAATCAGCCTTAATCATTCTCTGAAGGAGAGCCTTTGTAGCTCTCCCTTTAATTTCCACATTGATTTTCTCTTATTTTTCTTTCTATTTTCTCCCCTTTACTCCCCTCTCTTTTCCTCTTTCTCTTCCTCTTATTTCAGCAGACCTTCTTTCAGGGATTTGCATTTAGGGATATTGTAGAATCTATCATATGTGATTACAGCCTTTCCACTTCTTCCCTTTAACATTATTGTTCTACAGCTTAATTAATGAGTAATAGAAGTATAAAGTGCCGATACATCGGAAGTTACCAAAAAATATCCTTCTTCCCATATAATAGTCTTTAAAAATGTTATCACATCTGTGGTATCTTTCAATTATGATGGCATTTCTTTTACTAAATGTTGTAACCAAATGTCCACATATTTAGAGAGATTGGCTGAACTAAATGCAATGCCCAACACAATTGGTCTTCCTGGTGTTTTTTTTTTCAAATCTTTGTGTACTTTTGGTAAAATATAAAAGACAATAACTCTCGGAAATTCTACTTTTAATTTTTTTTTTATTAATTCTCATTTAAAATGCCTTCTTCTTTGCCCCTTTCTAAAAGAGTATCCAATGAAGACTTCATATCTAGAGTGGGGTCTTTTTTCAATTCCATATAAATCTTTTTATCTTCCAGTTGTTGGTAGCATTCCTCTAAATAGTCTGTAGTGTTCTGAATTACAATACTACCCCCATTGTTGAAAGGCTTAATTATTATTGCCCTATTATTTCTTAATTGTTGTAAGGCTTTGTATTCATTAAAATTTAGATTACTTTTAAAATTACGTTTAAGATTGTCTCTCTAGTTTATCAAAATCTTCAATAACTGACTTTTTGAATATATCTATAGCAATTGTCTTATAATTCCTAGGGTAAAAATGAGACTTATTTTTCAACCCAGTATGTTTATCACTTTTTCTTATATCTGTATATTTGTTCATTTCGAAAAATCTTTTTAAGGTCAGAGTTCTAGAGTATTTGAATATGTCTATGTACGCAGAAGAATTCAAATTTTTGCTTGGAGCAAATTTTAAGCCTTTATTTAGAATTTACAGTTAAGTAGTCAATTCAGTACATCTAACATTAGTTTCTTTTTTTTTTACATATTTTATTTTTATTCATTTTCTTTGACTGTGAAAGAACAAGTTCACATATTTGTATGAGAACAAAAAACAATAAGTACTAAGCAAAGTATATGCTATGAACACGTTAATACAGTTACAAATTGTCACTTAACAGACAGTGTTGAAACAGAAATTGTGAATACATTTTATACAGAGCAAACTTGGCATTACATTGGCAGAATGTATAAAATCGGTTGTGGTTTGGTGCTTGACAGGTTTCGTTTCTGTTCTGGTGCAGTTATATAGACTACATGGGCTCCATAGTGTTTAATCTTGTGTCTATAATACTATTACTTCCAGGAATATTAATAGACGATCGTGGGTATATATCGTCTCTACTCCCACTAGTTTGTGCACTTACTACAATCCTATTTCCCCTCTTATCCTTCTCTTATTCCTATCCCTTGCTCATCCCTGACCTCTGGTTGTTAAGAAGTCGTTCCATGGAGCCCATCTATTCTTAAATTGATTGAATTTGCCCATTGCGGAGAGTCTTAATTCTTCCATCTTATATATGTAGTCAACTTTTTGATACCATTCCCTTCTGGAAGGTCTCTTATTGTTTTTCCAATTTCCTGCTATGACCGACTTAGCTGCTGTTAGTAGGTAGTATATCAGAGAGTGTTTGAATTTATTCATGGAAATGGGAATGTTGAAGAAAAGTATTATCTCCGGTTTAAATGGCATAGGGACCCTACAAATGTGTTCTGTGGTTTTGTTACCTCCTTCCAAAAGGCCTCTATCCTCCTACAGGACCACCAGATGTGATGGTAAGTGTCCTGCTCTTCCTTGCACCTCCAGCAAGTAGGTGAGTGTTGGGTGTCATATTTGTGAATGTCTACTGGCGTGGTGTACCAGTGTGAAAGGAATTTGTAATTAATTTCTTGTAGGGGTATGCTAGGATTTGTTTTCATCATTTTGATAAAAACTGCAGTCCATGCATCCGCATTCATTTGTGCTGAGAACCATCGGCTTCCAGCTCTGGTATATAACGGTAGGTGTTTGTCCGTTATTGTTTGCATCATGTTATAGCATTTGGCCACTATTTTTTGTGTGGGTGGGTTTGAGCACCATTTCTCAAAGAGCGTTTCCTCTCTGGGCTTCCAATGAAAGAGTCCTTCTTTGCTCAGGAAGTGTTTAAGTTGGTGATATTGGAAGGTGTGCGTCAAAGTTATTTGGTTTTGTGTCAGTCCTGTAATCACTCCTAAAGATTTTAGTCCCCCGTCAGTTATTAAGTCACCTAATGCTGTGTAACTGTTTGTGGTTTGGGAGGATTGTGGTTTTTTTAATATACCTCCTTTTCCCATGGGGAGTAGGGGGTTGTGGGATATCGGGTATTTGGGGGATGGGGTAGGTGTAAGTTCTGGGTATTGGTGTATCTTTTTCCATGTCTGTAGGGTAGCAGCTATTGTGGGGAGGTCGTTCATTGTCTTACCTCCGGGTGTGGATATCATCCATGGTAAGGCTTTTAGGGGAGTTTGAGTTTGC